AGCGCGGGTCGCGAGGTGTGGGCGGTGGTGGGTGGGGGGGGGGGAGATCACTGCATAGGAGGCTTACAAAAAATCATACAAGATTAATACATTCCCTGGGCAGCCTCACAGAAAGCTTGATATTCCAGCTATCAGTAAGAGATATCAAAAGACTGCATCAGAAGGAGGTAACAGAATGGTTTTGAAATAATAAACCATCAGGTTTCCAAAGTACATCATCAGTGTAAAAAGCAAATGAATACATGGTCAAACTCTCTCTCCTCAAATCCGTGACCCTCAGCAGCTAAGCACTAGATCTACCGAGTCAGATCCCTCTGCATTTCCTCGCAAGGCCAGGTGACAGAGACATCCTTCATCTGAGCTCTGAATTTTAGAGAAGGAAGAATATTATCTCCATTTACTGGACCTGGTTTCAAAAGACTCATTGATTTCAAGAGTCTTTTAATCAGTCAAGTTTTAAGGAGGTAATCAATAACAATAGTGGCAATCATTTTAATTAATTCTTCTAGCATAAAAAGCCCTGTATACATTTCCTCATCCAGAGGAAAAAGGGGGGAAAAATAATACACAATCAATCATAATGTGATGAATTCCTGATATGTCTACAGATAATGTGACTGGATATTCTATGCATAAGAAAAAGAGTGGTCTTCCCCTTGCATTTAAAAAGTCAATGTCAGGAAACACTGAATACGAGAGTGGAAATCAGACTGACATTTTAAAGCTAGGTCACACCTGCTTGTATGTTCATTGAAGTATGCCCGCTCCGCGTGGAAGAACAGTTAACATGCTTACACAGGGCACATTTTTAAGTACTGTTTCTTTGCTTAGTTTCCAAATGGTTCACATGCTACCCACAGCAACAGTGTCACTTATCCCAAAAGGTAGAAGCCAAGATTGTCTTAAACTGAGCATCCAGAACCATTCACGAAAATCCATAGGTAATGGAAACTTTAAAATTAATCTGTTATTTGGTATCATGTATGAGAAGTTTGAATATGATGCCATGTGAAGTTTAACAGGCCTCTGGATTTCTGTAGACTCTAAAAATCCAGCAGCTCTGTCTCTGTTACATTCTCATTCTTCAATAATTTAAACAGGCAGTCTCTCCCTCGCTCCCTCTCTCTCATTTCTTTTATAAAAAGCATTTCTCATTCCTCTCAGTACATACAAAGCTTCCGTGATCGCTTTCACAAAGTTCAAAAGGAACCATGAGATCACAGCTTGGCTATGATAAATTTCACCTACGTTCCCATATATTGGCTGCAGAAGAATTAATAAATTAAATATTTCTATTCTCAGCAGATTAGATTGTTGAGAGAAAACAGATGCTAGGAGAGCTGGGAGTATCATCGCTGCTGAGGGCTCTTGCAATGGCTGGGAATTAATTAGGTGAGATAAGAATGAAGATGGTCATATAAAGCAATCCACACGCTTTGCTGCAGATAAAGGGGAAAAACGCTGAAGAGCTTTGCAAAGCCTATCTGCTAGCACATCTGAAAATGAGCTTAACCGCAAAACATATTAATAAAACATGTTGGCTAGGCATCTGAGAAACAAGTATATCAGTAGCACTGGGAATGTCTTGTAGGACAAGTCGAATCCACTCTTCCCTTCATCAGCAAGAAGGGAGGCTTCTCAGTAGTATCTTTTTCATGCTAACGTGTTTGTAAAGAGCAATCAAATTACCTGTCCATTTGCCTCTCCAGAGTCTCAGGAATGGTTCTGATCCTATCTCCTCTGCAATCACTGGTATTTACCATCATGGAATTCTGCATCTTAGGATGAAGCTGGAGAAGAGCCCTGGATATCCCACTGGACCCGTTTTGATTGTGCCACTTTGATTGTCCTGTTATGACAATATGCAGTTTCAAGGGAAAAAAAAAAAAAGGGAAGAATCAACTTACAAAGCACAGCCTTAATCTGTATTTGTAAAGATACACAGAGTGGGAAAAAGTGGGGAGGAAGGCTAGGAAAGAAAAAAGCAGGCTCAATTTACTTCCAAATTGGTGGGATGAAGAAAGAAACTTTGGATGAATGAGGTTGTTTCCTGCCCGGCAAAATTATATCACACCAAGCGTATCTCAAACATACAACACTGTACCTAGCCATGAAATCTTTACATGGAGCTTTGTTTTGCAGAATTTCACTCAAGATTTCATCTGTTGAAGTGCAGTATGTCCCACCGATAGCTGCTGCTGAAACCACTTTCCAAAGAGAAGGATTTCTTAGAATTTCAGCAGTCGCTTTGGCACAAAACAACGTTTGCAGAAGGTGTAAAAAAAAAAAAAAAAAAAAGCCAAAAAACAACAGGAAAAAAATCCACAACATAATGCCGCAAAAAAACCTCAAACAACTTTCAATGTAAATCAGGAGACAAGCAAAGTAACACATTGCTTTAGGTGTTACCCCACACGCCAACTTCACAAATGCAAAATAAAACAACGTAGTTCTAGAAGGAAAGGGGAACTAGTAAAGGTTAATTTCTGGGGCTGGTGTTTTAACTCAAAATGAACTCTCCGAGCCTGAGTGAAAAAGGATTTGTGGGAGAAAATACTTTAGGAGATGGCGCTTGCTGCGATGGCTGAGGCCTGCGGATCCGACGGCCCGCAGCCTGCCCGTGCCAGGCAAGCTGAAGCTGGCAGGAGTCTCCCCATTTCCTGGGAATACCAAGAAACCGCAGTTTTCCCCCTTCCCATCACCTTTGAGTTAACAGCAACAGGACTTCAAAGCTAGCTCTAAGAAAACAGTATTTTAATAATGTCAATAATGTTAATTTATCTCCTCTTGTAAACTATATTTTCTTGAGCAGGAAAGGCACAAAATCTTGGAAATAAACACAACACAGGGACTTTCGTGATGGGGAGCGGCAGGAGGGGACATCTGTGGCTGAAATTCGCTGGGATGGGGGAGTAAAGACCCCCAGGCCCACCCTCAGGGATGCCAGTTTTATCACGCTAGGTATCACCTGCACTGAAAACACTTCAGTTACATTACACAAGCTCAGGGAAACAAAGTTCCATTGTAAGCGTTAGCAAACACTGCACCCTGTCACTTAAAATCCAACTTTCTGGTTAGTCTTTGCATCTCTGTTTTACCTAAGAGAGGCACGCATATGTATACACATACACACACATATATACACACACATCCCCACACAAAATGTGTGAAGTCACGACTGCTAAGAAAGCTAGCTTGCTCCCATAATTTTGTTAATTATTACAACCTTGACCTGAAGACACATTGCATTCAATCTATGTAAATCCATGCGTAATACTTGATGAAGACAAGCAAAATACAATAAAAATATTGCACTAGCAGTGTAAAACTTGGTGTATCAGTTTTTAAGAAGTTGTCCAAGAAGATGGTTCAGGACGTAAATAAAAAACCCAGTCACACTTGCAGGTAGCTGTTAACTGTAGTCACAACGTCTTTGCTTGAAGATCAACTGCAAATCCCCATTATTTGTAATAACACCATAAAGCGTATCTGAATGCGGGATACCAGGAGAGGCTCACGA